TGTGTTAACTTTGGCAGTTAAAGTGCAGCTCTCTGAAAAATGTGACTAGTGGGACCTCTTGTTTCTTTGCTTTCTAAATTGCTTAGCAAGTTAGCAGTATGTCATCTTTAGTCTTCCTTCGTTTTACTTTTCTCCTTTTTCTTAACAGACAAATTTTCAAGCAAAGCCTAATGTCTTATAGTAAAATGGAGTCTTTGGGAAATAAAGGTGTTTGTCTGCTAGGTAATCTGTGCTCCTATTCAAACGTGTTGCTTTACATGAGGATTGATTAGCACTATCTATGAAAACCTAACAAATGATTGTGCAGATGAGTGGAACCTGGATCATACACCACAGAGGGTGCAGCTCAGCAGGGAGCTGGGGATCAGGGAGCACTTGAAGCCTCCTCGGGCAGCCTCAGCATTGAGCTCATTTTCATCCATCTGTACACAGGCCTCAGGAATTGCATTGGCAGGCATTATGACCAGCGGGTGAGACCACAGAACTGGACTTGCATTGCCCAGGGATCATTGCTGCCTTTGGTTTGGGGTGGGGAGTGTTTGGTTTTCCTCCTGCTGTCTGTCATTCTGTGTTAGACTTGGCTCTTCAAGAAACGGGTGCAGCATTCCTTGACTAGTCAGAAGTTGCATTTGTTTCATAGCAAAGCTGGGTTTTGGCACCTGAGCCTCTTTCATCAGTTTTTGCATGGATGAATAATTGTTGTGTACACATGTAAATTTTTGGAGTTGTTCCCAACGTGTGCATGTTTTTCTGTTTATTTATGTTTGCTAGGAGGATGGGGGAGAGGCCTTGCAGTTACCTCATGGGAACATCTTGTTGCTCTGAGGGGGAAATGCAATATTTATGTGTCTGCTTGCTTTCAAATTCTTTTTTCTGTGGCTCATAAAAGATGAGAAAGCAGAGTGTGCATTAAGTGCTTGAAAAAATAATGCAGAAATGCAAGCACTGTTGGCTGTTGTTATGTAGGCACTTCATCGTCTCTCGGCTGTACGATCTTTTGCCAGGGCTGTTACCTCTGGTCTGTGAGAGTGCAAAACGCTGCATGTGTGAAATGCCACTACTGACAACATACAAATATGTGTGTGTGTATGTCTGTGTGTGTGTGTATAGAGTAGTAGTAGCAGTAGTGGATCACACTAAAAGGCATAAAATTGAAAATAGCCATGCCTTCCCAACATTGAGAAATAGTATTGAATAAAACTTATATACTGTAGGAAAGAAAGACCATTTCAGCAGTCTGCTGTGTCCCTGTTCTAAGAGCTCAAAAAAAAATCTCTTACCTCATTCTGTAAAGTAGGAGAGAATGCTTTTTTGAAGAGTGGTCTTACTTTGTGTTTATGGTACAAGCCATTCAGGGTACCAGATTGTGTTCTCCATTGCAGCATTGATCTCTATGGTGATCTTCTCTAAAGTCCTGTTTCTCCCCCTACTTTCACCTTTTATGAAGAGTGTTTATAAATGACGATCAAAAATATAAGTTGAAGTATTCTGAGTTGTTCAGCCTTCTTCATATCTATGAACTGCTGTTTCATTTGCAGTATTCTTAAGTTGATTAAAATGCATCTCTAAGAGTGAACTGCTATTGGTTGGACAGGAAGGAATCAGTTCTGATGTTTCTGTTCAGGTACTTCTAAACAGAAGGAATCAGTGAGATGGTGTTTTTGAGTTGGGATGCAGATCCAGATCCAAGTGCAGGCCTAATTCACAAATGATGCATCAGTGACACTTCACCATTTTTAGTGGGGATGTAGTGATAAGCAGCTGAGATTATGAACAGAGCTGAATATTATACAATCAATCAGATTGGAAAAGACAGCTAGTTCAGCACTTCTGAGAGTCAGAACTGCTATTGAGAATGGGAATAACAATGTTACCATCATCCCTCCCCCCCGCAACCCGTTGGTAGTTTAGTCCTAACTCTTCAGGTGCTTGGACAAGTTGCAATAGCAGAAGCTTTACTGGCATAGCAGCAAAGCAGGAAATTCTTCGTCTTTAGTCTCTATCTGGACAGGCCTGGGTGCAGTGCCCATGGACAAGAATTATTGTGTTATGCTTTCTTCTCTACTGTGTCTACTGAATGCCTTTTTAGTAATTGCGTTTAATGTTGGTTGCAGGGAATAGATGAAGGCCCAGAGGGACTGAAACTAATCTCTGACATTATTCGAGAGAAGATGGGAATAGACATCAGTGTGCTGATGGGAGCAAACATTGCCAACGAAGTGGCAGCAGAGAAATTCTGTGAAACCACGATAAGTAATGTCCCGAGTAATAACAGTGTTGTAAGTATGTTCTCCTCCTCACAGGTGTGCACTCAGTAGCTCAAATTTCATTGTGTTCAGCGTCGGAAGTTCTGGGATCCTTCTGATTTTAATGTTGAATTTCCTAGAATGTTTACATGTCCAAAAGTACTGGGAGAATACTGGGACTAGAAGGAGAGATGAGTGCAATTTTAACATGTCTCACAAGAGTTTGACCTTAGTGCAGGAAATGCTATGCACATTTTTGATCACCCTCCATGTAACAAACTGCTTTATTTTATCGCTATTCTTATGATTTTTCTTGGATCTGCATGGCTTGATATATATAAATGACTATATATTCTGTATTCCAGCTCAGCTGTTATGGTCACAGATGGTAACTATATGCATGTCTTTTTTAGGTGTAGGTGTCGGTGTCTTTTGAGTTCTCCAAGTAGTTAGTTCACCCCAAAGCTAGGAACGGGTTCAGTTCTGTATTGGTGTCTTGGTGTCTGTAACCTCTGCAATACAAAGACATCTCTCATCTTGCGTGTCACAAATTCTGGATAAGCATATGTGTGCATGTATACATGTACATGTACTCATATATGATATATTAACATATATCGTATATTAACTCAGAGAGTTAATGTCATTTTTTCAGTGTTTATTTTTACAGTTTCGTGCTTTTCTTTTCTTTCTTTTTTTTTTTTTTCAGCTTTCTAACTTCTTACTAATGGTTCTGTATTTTAATTTATTTTTTGAATGGTTGCATTACCTTTCCATGTTTATAAACAGCTGTGAATGTCAACATGCTTAGTTTATACAGTGTCCTTGACCTGCCTTTATCAGTAGGCATTCTTCTAGAATGAAGGCCTTAAAATAATAGGTGGAACTGCACCTGCTTTATTTCAAATTTACCTTTGCTTTATTATTAACTGTTACTTTAAGGAGAATGATCAAAGAAAAAAAGAGAGTATAAAGAATTAATGAGATTGTTATTTGGAAGCTCTTGATGAGCAGGCAATGAATTACGAATCCAGAGAAACTCAGCATAAAAGCTTTTAAGTGTGAAGGAGTCTGTTTAGGATGACAACCTTATCTCTAGTTCCAAATAGTCAAACTTGTGCAGGAAAGCCTAAATAATACCCAAATCAATTATTAATTGGCAGTTTTTATCCTTCCTTTCTCTCTCAACAGGCAGCAAAATCTTGGAAAATGGCCTTCTCTTCAAAGAACTCCTGCAGACTCCAAACTTCCGAATAACTGTGGTAGATGATGCGGACACCGTTGAGCTCTGTGGTGCACTGAAGGTAAGAGTAACAGGCTGCAGTTTGTGCACAGATGGAACAGTGATCCTTGTAGAAAAAAAGTGGATATTTTCATTTAAAGAATCAAGCTTCTTGTACTTTATATAACGTATAAAATTGTTACATAACATTCCCTGAAGAACTAGATGTGAAAGTAGGCAGCAGCATGTTCAGTGAGTTGGCTTTTAGACACTTGTCTCATTATCTCTTAAGTCGTCTTTCTCCGTCTTTCACGTCGCTTACACGTAATCACAAAACAAGTGTTAATTTCACCTCACTGGTCGAAACATTTCTAAATACATCTTAGTTCACTTTTTCGTTATGCAGCGGTGCATTCACCAAAATAAAGTGAGAAGTCAGTATTAATCCTTGATGTCTGATGAGTGAAATGTTCTCCTCTCCTCTGACTTACGTAATGTGAGCTCTACTTTGTGCTGCACTTTCTCACCATGTATATGACCACATACAAAAATGACTTGAATAGGAAAAAAAGCTGTTTTGGGGAGTTATTTATCTGGATTTTATTTTTTGGTAAAAAAATTGACGTTGACAAGAAGCCAAAACAAGCTTAAACATACTGATATATTTTTAGGTTAATTTACAGGCCGTTTATGAAGGGAAAGCATTAGTAGCTTGAGACCCTGGCCAATAGTTCACATTATCTGCTAATTATCATGGAAGCACTTGTAGAGTTCATAATGTGGCTCCACAGCCATTGCTTGAAACTGCTGCTGTGGTGATAAGCAAGGTTAGTGGGAGAGAAATTCCTGCGTATAGGCCCATGAAATAAGTCAAAAAACAAACACTACAGATTCTTTATTTTTAAATCTGCTCAGCTTGGTGTTTTCTGATTATCTGGAATTCTTGCTTGATAGGTGAGTTAATTCCCTGACTATGACAGTTTTTTCCTCTAGAAAATTCTGTAGACTAAATCAGCAATTAGTCAGCAGGCACTCAAACTCCATTATAGAAGTCCCAGACAGGCAACAGACCAATATTTCTTTGGAAGTGCAGAATAATTTAAATCAATTGTCCTTCTTGACCTGAAAAAGGGCTGAGGTCAAACTCTGTGGGTTTTTTTGTAAGCTTGCTTTGTTCCTCCCTCCTGCTCCATTATTCATCTTGCAACCTGCAGGCTGAGCTCTGTAGTCGCATTTCTAAAAAGCTGTATATATTCTATGTGCTCTGGTCACTTGGTGTTGGTTGTGGTATATTTTGTTAAGCGAGCTGAAACTTCCAAAGAAGTGCATGGTGTGACTAAAGAAAAATGTGAATTACAGCTGGTATTTTAAAACAAGTTGATCTTAGTATTTTGTACCTGATTGAAAAGCACGAACTCTCAAGTGCAGCTCTTGTTGACTGACAGTTACTTTATTAGACTTGCAAAGTTACTTCATGAGAAATAATAAAAATTAGCATTACTTAACTTGAGGGAAGGAAGAAATTCGTATTTCAGAAGATGTCAGTACTGTGTCGTGTAAAGAGACAGGCATGAAACGAGAGGGTCTGCTCTTTTTCTATAGTGATGCTGCGTCAGACTGACAGGAGCATCCCCACAAACTGCATTTTGGAATTCAGAAGCAAGCAGATGCATGTGCTTGTCCAAACTTGCTTTTTTCTTACAGAAATAGTAAAAGCAATTCCTGTAGAGGTATTTAATGAATGAGAAATGCCACGGTGGGAGAAAAGCACATCCTTCCAGTTTCTGCATTTTTCCATATGTACCTGCTTGGGAAAAGGAGACTTTTCTTGGTTCATCTGGCACCATAGGCTACCTCAGCACTTACCTCACTCTATTTCTGCAAGCAAGGAAGATTTCAGTGTGGATGATTGCCTAAAGGTTGGGAGAAAAAATACGGAAGGATAGTAGAGAGTGTTCTGAGCTCAGCTTTCCCTCACAATAATGATAATTTTAGGTTTGAAATTTGTCTTTTGAGGCATATTTAAATTCAGACTGTAATAATAGGTATTGCAGCTGGGTGATCATGAACACATGCTTTATTGCTATTTATATATGTGCACATATAGACTGAATATCCACTTCGTTCACTGTGTTTGTATTTTGTGACAATGGGCAGATGGAGAAGTATAGAAATAGGTGGAGAGAAACTGCAGCCTTGCATCAGCTGAGAGACTGATAATGGCAGTCATTTAAAAGAATCCAATAATACTGAAGAAGAACATCTATCTCCAGTAACTTGTTGGCTGTGGGAACAAGATGTGCTTGGAGGGTTTTCTATAAGGAATTTTTCTTTTGAGGACTGAAGCACATTTCACATTTAGTCGGCAGCCTTTTGTAAGGAGTGAGGTCAGGAATGAATCAGTTTCACACGTGGGTGGTTCATAGCCCCTGGATGTCTTTATGGGCAGCCCAACCACAGGGCACCCTCGGATTCCAGCTGCCATTTGCCAGACAATGTGGGTCCTTCCTAGGAAATAGTTAAAGGTGACTGGGACAGGGACCAAGGCGTGGGTGACAGTTCTTGCAGGAAGGAGAAAGAACCACAGCTGTGGTTGCCTTTCCCAGCAGAGCTTCAGGTCTTTCTCTAAATCTTAACTAATCTACAGCTTAACTTTAAGCAAAGAAGTGTAAGTGATTTGCTGCTTACCAGGGCATGTAACCCAGCGTTCTCATTGACAAAGGTGTTCCTTTGAAGTTTGTTTATGGCAACTGTTGTCGGATAGTCAGTCTAGCTACTGTAGAAGTTGACTGTGGTAATTACGCCTTCCTGAGATTAGTTGGAAATTAAATCCATGATTTATGTTCAAGTTTGCCAGGAGCAAGAAAATGGTTTATGCTGAGCCTCTTTTAACAGTCCTGCTGATACTGTCCTTAATTTGTTGAGTCTCTGTTTGACCTCCTAGCTTCTACAAATTCATGTGCTGAGCTGTGGCACTACATCAAGGAACAGTGGATGTCCCAGATGAATTAAAATATCTGTGTAATACTTTAATGACCTATTTAATTAGGGTCAGAAGTGGCTTCTGAAAATGTCTTCATGAGCACACCACAAACTTAGAGTAAACAGAGCAGGACAGGAAGCTGGGTATTTCTTAGCAGTGACGTGTGTCAGCAGTCTGCAATTTTGTTAGCTATGTTTTTTGGGTCATCTACTGCATTTGTGACTTCTAGCATGCTTGCAGCAGATCATGTGCAAATAGAAGATACACTTTCTCACTCACTCTGTAATACACTGTGGACACTGCCTGACATCAACATTCTTTTTCTGGAGTGTCCTTTCAGTATCCTGGTGATAAAATAACTTGAGTTCAGGCCTAGCTCACTTTGTACTTCAGGGTATGAAACCAGCCAGAGAGTCAGCTGTTACTGTAAGTATTTTAATAGCTTAAAACCATACTCAGTATAAAAGCACCCTGTGCATCTTGCTCACAGGATGCATGCTTTAATGGAAGAAGCTGTAATGCTGAGTGTGGAGAAACATTCGCTCAAGCACTAAGTGATTTTGAGAGCTCTAAATCCCACAGTCCAAGAGGAACATTGTATTGCAGTCATTTTGGGTTTGTTCTGATGGTATTTTTGCAGTCTTGGAACAGCAAGTTTGTCTGTAGACTACAGTTGTCGTTACTTATTGGGTACACTGCTGAGCTGGTACGCTTCACCTTTATCAGATACAGTAAATGTGTTTTGCCATATAGAAGGCTGATGACACATACAATCTGCTTCTTAGATGATTACTATAGTGCTAGTGCCACTAGGCTCTATGCATCTTTCTGTAATAGACTCAGCTCACCAGAGGTTTCAAGTAGCAAGCTGTCTGTTTTGAGACTCAGACACCTTTCTGTCCAGAGTAAGATCAAGTTTTGAGGCTGTTTTATTTTTAAAAGCAGAGGCTTTTTTTCAGTAAAGCATAACTTTCTGTGTGTCGTAATTCGGTTTTCTCTGCTGTGTATTAGGCAAGAAGGAGTTGTCATAGATTCTTCAAGGATCTAAATGAAATCAGAGGATGGAGTTTTTTAAGTTCACGAGTGCGGTCTGAGGGTTATGTTGACAGGTTATAATCATCTCCTAGGTGTGGGTGTGTATTCAAGAGCAAAAGGAGTTGTCTTGTTTCCTCATTTGCAAGCTGTGTGCAAGAACATATAATGGGGCATTGTCCAAAAGAAGAGCTAAGTGATTCAGAACTGGAATCACAGCTTCCCTTCCTCCCTACACCATCTCCTCAGAAGTAGCTAGTCATGGTAGGACTTGCTTAAAACAATATTTGCATTACTCCGAGGGCAAACATTGTGAAAGGCAGAAGTAGTCAACAAATGCCATAGGTAATAATTGTACTGAAATTTATGGTCAGATGGTCTGCTGCAAAGTGGAAAAGAAACAGGCATTGTCAGAGTGGGGGGGAAGAAGCTGCACTGACGGGAGTGTTCAAGAGGTACTGGAAAACATCCAGAAGTTGTTCAGAAATATTTTTGTCTTTGTGCTAAACATTTAGACTTCATGACCATGTGAGTTCCAGTTCAATGGGTTATCCCATCTGAAAACTTTTTGAATACCTCTTCGACTTCTCTCGCTTTGCCACCAAGTGAACAGATATTGGAAGATGCTCTAGAAGAGCTGTCTGATCACAGCCAAGATGTAAGCCAAGATGAGCTCGAATACCAGCATTAAGTCTGATAATCTGCTGTTGCTGTCGTATCTGATGTCAAAATTTCTGTTTGCAGTTTGTAAGGGCTGCCGTTAGACCTTTACTGGTACTTAAAAAGCAAAGAGTGATCCATTTTGTAGAGGGGAGAAGCTGTGATGGGCACATAGCACTGCAACAACCTGCAGTTTTTCATTCTCACAGTCCAAAAGGCTGTTTATCAGCTTGTTGCTTACTGTAGCAATTTCTGACTGCTGTTTTATCTTCAGCAACAGTTAAAGGCTTTTGTCTCCTGTATTTGTTTCTGTTTCTGTTGAGATCTCTGCTATTGCTGTTGCAGAAACATAATGCTGTATCTATTGCTTCCTTGTTTTCTTTATCAGATTTTCAGGATCCCATCTTGCTTGGAGGGTTGTTTTTTAATTTCTTTAATAACTAAGTATGGGTAGTCTGTGATTCCTGTTACTTGATCTTGTTACTTTACAGTGAAGAAATAGCTTTTGCAGTGATTTTGCTCAAGCATCTCTGAACTAATCTCTATTTTATGTTTGTAAACAAAAGCTGATCATCATTTTCATGATGATTTATCATGAAAAACCAGTACAGTATTTGTAGAAAGCTGTCACTAGATCTAAGGAAAAACACAACTGTTTTTGCTTAGGAAAGGTTTCCTGTGTGATGAAACTTCTGAGAAGCCTTTATTAACAATTATTGTTACATGATCTCCATGTACTTAAAGAGGCTGAATGCAATTAGCTTGGCTGAATTTGGCCTCCTAGCATATCGGCATGAAAGTCAATACAAGTTTCTCAAATTACTTTAAACATAAAGAAACTCTGGGTACAGAGCCATGGATGTCAGTCTTATCTTCACCTCTACCTCAGAGTAGGAACAGGTTAATCTGGATAAAATCTTCTTTGGGTGTAGTATGGCATGTTTTTAAAAACAGTCAATAAAAACAGCTTCACAGCCCCCGGGGCAGCTTGTTCCAGAGCTTTAACTATGCTTTTATACTTGGAAATAATTTACTGATGTAAGACTTAACATCCTTTTTTTTTCCTTTTTTAAGGTTATCCCATAAACCTTGGGAAAAAAAATAGTGTTTTACATTAATAAAGTATTGGCAGTTCTTGAGGACATTGCACTCTTGTCCATTCACATCTTCTGGGATTCGGATTGAATAGTTTTCCATTTGTTTTTTCCTCTTCTCACTAGAATATAGTGGCAGTAGGAGCTGGGTTCTGTGATGGCCTTCGTTGTGGTGACAATACCAAAGCTGCTGTTATTCGCCTTGGCCTAATGGAGATGATTGCCTTTGCCAGAATTTTTTGCAAAGGACAGGTGTCTACTGCCACTTTCCTGGAAAGCTGTGGAGTTGCTGACCTCATCACGACGTGTTACGGTGGCCGGAATCGACGTGTAGCAGAGGCATTTGTTAAAACTGGAAAGGTACCTTATTTGCTGTGTGAAATCCACTGGTGCAAGTACTAAGCACTCCTGGTTTGTTGGAGTAATAGTACGGCTCTCTGAGCCATGTTAGCTGCACTTCTCTTTCACTTTTGAGTGTGTTACAAGAACAAAATGAGTGGGAAGGTGTTTATAAAAAAGAGCTGGAGGGATAAGACAGTGGGAGATGCAGATGTAGGAAGAAGAACATTTACAGACAAGAATATAGGAGGATACGTGTACTCACTCAAGTTTAATTTTGGGTAGGGAAAACCATCAATAACATCTTTACTTCCATCCAGACAATGTTGTCAAGCTTGCAAAAACTGTATCGTAGCTCTTCTTTTCTCCCTCCCTCTTGTTTAGTCTATTGAAGAATTGGAGCAAGAAATGTTGAACGGTCAGAAGCTGCAGGGACCACAGACATCTGCAGAGGTGTATCGCATCCTCAAGCAGAAAGGAATGCTGGACAAGTAAGTAAGAACAGATAAAGTGAGTTCTAGTTCTGCATGAACCTTTTTATTTCCATACCTCTTTTTACGCTTTTGGCCTTGCTTTTTTCATGAAGGTTTTGCCAAAAGCAAATCGCTGTAATAACAGTGGCTTAATCCTCAGTTAAAATGCAGAAAACAATGAATGAAACCTCAAAATAGTATTGCCGTCTCTATGTGCTAATAGTATATAGTGTGATACCAAATAATAGCTAATAGTGTGATACCAAATCTGTGAATTCCCTTCTGTTTACACCAGGATGTGTTACTGTCTACAGTAGCTACAGTAGCTACTGTCTACAGGAAGCTACAGCAGAGTGTGTTTTAACATGTGAAAAGAATAAAGCACGTGAAAGCTGAGCTCCCTAAAGAGACTTTTTAATGAGGCTCTGCAGCTCGTTTCATAGTAGTAAATTCATTGCTTATCTCTGAAAAGAGGAGCTTTGTTATTAATGATCCATATAGTTAAGTACAGTAGGTGCATCTGTCCGCATTGATTCTGGCTTAGATACTGCAGTTTTTTTCCTTATTTGACTTTCTGTTAGATCAAGGGTGAAACCTGCCATCAGCTTGTCTAGGTCAGTTTTGTTTTTTTCAGTATGAAATTAAGCAGGTTGTCCTGGTTTGTTCATCTGAATTTGAGTCAGCATATATAGGATTCCTAAATCCACACACACAGTTGTCTCCTTATGAGATTAAGGGATGCATTATTGCCATCTGTTCCTGTTGGTAGATGACAGAAAATCAGAACGTAAATGACAGCCAGTCAGAAGACCTGGCCTTGTCCTTACTTTTTCCAAAACAGTTTTTGAAATCTAGTTTTAA